CAGACCATCCTGACTAGAAATTGAGCCTTCCTATCTGTGGCCAATAATTGAAAATGATCATTCGTTAGTGAAGCGTTTCGGAAAAAAAGGTACGACTGTTTTGTTAGCACACTGTAGCGCCATTTCCTCCTCGCACGCCACGCCGCACATGGGACTGTGTGGTGACAATCTCGGTCGCCTTTGGATCAACCAATCACAGGTGCCGCAACTTGCACCAATGCTCGATTCCTCACGGTGGCTAACGTGCGTATACGTCTCCGTCTGCCTAAACCGGTCTGGCCAATCACCTTCCAATGCTGACTCACACAAAAACCACTCTAGGCGCTCGTGAGGATTCCCACGCTGATTTCACTTTGAACCAGGCGCCCTAGCGGCCGGACTGCACTCGTCCGACAGTCAACTTCCCCCTATATTTTTGTCTTTTACTTCTGCGCAAACTAAAACTATTCCTTCCATCTAATGTCTCACTTTTTCCCCTGCCACTAGGAACCGGGCCTGAAGATTGTAGCTGCAAATAGGTACAGCTACAAATACGTAAACTGGCTTAATGTCTAGCGAATTCACTGACATGTCTGATTATTTTTAAAAATTTCCAATATATTTTATTTCAAGAGTGTGCACTGGCATCCGAAGTTTAACGCACCGTTGACGCGCCCTCTATACCGCATTCGTTCACAAGACTATAAATGATCGTAACGCTGTACGCATGCTATGATCAATACTGTCTCCTAACAACAACAGCCCCCTGTGAGAGGGTTGACAGCAACGTGCGGTGACAGGAAAAATATTCTTATCCAAATTAGTATTACCGTGTGGTTGTGGATATCACGGGGAATTTTGAACATCAGTGGGACGAACGCCGAGGTTGTGGCTGAAGGTGGCGTGTGGCGACCCTCGTCTGGACACTGCGCTCCCTGGCGGACATTTGCAGATATGCAACACTTGCAGCAGTCATTCGTCTAACATTCCCAGGACCTGCATGGTGCCCGCATTGCGCAATGCCGTTCCCTGTAAGCGACAGGCTGTCTGGTTGCGTCCAAGCATAAATATCCAAACCGGCCAATCAACTTCAAGTCCGACACAAACATGTCTTCGCTCGAAGCACTCTGGGGCCTGCTCCCGTGGCATCAGGCGAACGCCTTTTCCGGCTACCAGCTTGCTCCATCCCTTTCTCCATGCATTATGGCGTCTAGTTGCTCCACTTCCTATTTGGGATTGAGCCTGAACGTCGCAGTGGTTAGGGTCTGATCATGGCTTGGACTACCGCAAAAAACGTGTTACTTATAAATGCTGGTGCTACGTTTTGGGGTAGCAGGTCGCGTACGTGGTGCGCGCAGATGAATTTACTATGTTAGCAGCTGCATCTATTCCACGCACCAGTTAACTGATCGGCTTTGACG